TCATGATATACAATTATTTTTGTATTCGACTGACTGCAACTGTAATACATTTTCAGAAATCAAGAATATATTACTAATTATAATTTCACAAGTACAATCTCGTATCGTCAACTTCTGTTATACTAATTATTCCTACATATGAGTATGTATCATGCGAAAATTCGTAATCACTGAAAGCTACTTTAAAATTTAGTTGTATTTGCATTTTAGAGTAAATATATTTATATATGTATGGGGAATTATGATTTTTGTGATGGTCACTATGACGTGAACAATTTTTTCATTGTTTTTATGAGCTTCCATTCTATTGACAATGTAATAAAGACGGATTTTAAATAGTACCTAGGAAATTGATACATTCCTGAATCTAAAATGTTAACAGTCACTTTATAATACTCTAGAAGCGATAAATTTTCTGAACAAAATTTATATACAACCACTTATCACACCACAAAGTAGCCTACTTGATGTCTGACGCTGGAACACGTTAGCAAACAGACTCGATTATTTTGGTCTACTAGATAACAATTGAGAAAATTGTTATTTCACTATCTGTGGCTTCATCAGTCCTTCAATCTAAGGTGTTTTATAGATTCCAACGAAATTAGAATTAAACTTAACTACTCATATTAGTTTAAGTATGAATCCTGTGTCTGCACAAAATAGCTCTACTGGTTTGTTTTATGACGGTGTTGTTTAACAATTTGCAGCGCATCAGTGGTATATAGATATTCTAAAATGTGTTTTTTCACGATAAACACATTTCATAATTCATTCTAAAATTCAGCTTAATCGACGTGTTTTTGTACAAATAAGTGATAAATAAATATATTCACTTAAATAACGTGGCTAGTAAGCATGCTATTTCAGTAAAAGCTTTTACAAGTTTACTACCATCGAGAGTGGTTATTAAAATAATATTCTTCATCGTCCAAATGACTTATGCAAAAAAGGGAAATAATATTTTCATTATATCTTTCTTGATCGAGAAGCAGCTAGAACATAAGTTGAAATATTTTCAAAAAAAACCCAGCTCTTTTGGATAGTTGCATTGCCTATGGTTTTGCAGATTCCAAAACAATGAAGTTAGAGTTAGATGAAAAATCAAGTTAACAGGCTAATCGCCATACTGAACTGACTAAATCCACTCCCTAATATAAACGTTATCCTATGACTTTCATAAAAATACTGTTTAATGACTATAGTGAAGAGTTGATTGAAAGTTCTCACTCGACAGTGGGATAATACAGTGATAGTTCTTTAAGGCAAAAAGAACCTCAGGGTAGATAAGAAGAGTTCAAGCAACAATTACATTAATATTTTTCTTGGGTCTAACGAGTACTTTCCGCTCGACATTGCTAAGCGTCGGGAAGAGAATGCCCGTACAATATTAGCAGACATAATTTGGCAAAATAAGATTTGGCAATTCTGACAGCTATGCAGATAAACTTGTGAACGAAAGAATATCGAAAATCTCTGGAGACAGTTTCTTAAACCTTGGTAGATTTTCAGAGACTGGTAACTATGTAGCTGGAGTACATTAAACGTGTTTGGAGTGCTAGATTGAACATCCGTTGACACATAATATAAAGCACACGCGTACACCAAGAACAATTTTTACGCTTAACAATCATAATTATCAAAGGGGATCTTATCACAAGCTGACAAGGTTTAGGGAACTATTGTGGATCAGAGTACACTAGACATATGTTTTACCATAGCTTGGGACTCTGAAAAGGTGTACACCAACGATTGCACCAGTCATCAAACTCTAAGCATTAGTATTCAACTACTGTCTACCTTCGAACTAAAGAAATCCTCGCATACATAACATATGACTTATAGTGCTTAAGAATAATGTGATTCTTAATTTATGTTCTGACCTCTTCTGTAAACACCTTCAATATTTTATTTTTAATTATATTCCTAGATAACCCCTGACCAATCTGCGAAGCAAATCTTTTAGATTTCATAAAGACACCTTTTTTAAAAGTGGAAATTTTATCACCAGAGTCATAAGTAAGGAATCATGGTAGAGCAGTTTGTTGTCGACTGTACATCTGGTTACCATTTATTGTAGAAACAATATAAACACACAGCTAATTTTTGTATTTTCTTATATTTTCAATTTTCGAAATGCATTATACACCCAGGAAAACTATTTCTATGAGTAATTAAACAATGATCGAAAGATAATCAAGGGAGTTGTATTCTCTCTGGTAAATATATGGAATTGAATTTCATTTATATTGTTACACTGCTGTCTGTTAGTGTGTGAATGAATGAGTGAGCGAGTTATTCAATGACCAGATTTCATATTCACACCTATAGGCTTGTTTGTATACACAGTGTGTTTTTCCACTAGCTGAAACAATCAATCATTCGTATATAATAGGATATTTGTCTTAATAATAAAAATCTGAGAATGAAATAAAATTTATTAATATTGCTCAATAAAAACAGAACAAAATTGAATTAAACAAAGAGAATGACAAGAAAAGACACAAAACTCTAGAAATAGTTTCTCAAACCTACTGTCAGGTGTGTAAACATAGTGTTGAGATAGTTTAAAGTAAATATTAGTTCGAATAGATGTTGATGGAGCAATGAGAAAAATGTTTATAACTGAAACACACATATACTACTGCAGTTTAATCCGAAATGCCTGATCAAACACTGTTATCAGTTGGCTAACAGTGAAATACAAGAAACCTGAATATATAGACTAATAAAACGCGTAAATATTTTTAAGGAGCATTGTTATGCCAAAAAAGTATTATCTGGCTCTATGATGAAAGCTGAAAATAGTATTTAATACAATATTTAACTTGACACTCTGTCCCTCAGGTGAAAAAACTATCTACTTTTGTTTTCGCTACGTCAAAGGATTGATCACGAACTGAAATCAGTTAGAGAACCATTGGAAAACTTGTGAGTACTGGACTCTTTGTCAGTACTCACCCACTGTTAAGTCAACTATTCTGTCGCTTGTATCTGTCAAAAGCTACCACGAGAAACTCTGTCCTTGCAAAGAGTATAATTTTTTGCGTACCAGAGATGTTAAGAGGTTGAAAGTATTCATCAGGATCTTGTGTTTATAGATATTTTATTGGCATGATACACATGCGACCCTGAATAAGATGATGCTGCGAGTGTCAGAGAGCACAAGAGGTTGCTTTGGACCTTGCAATGATCTAGGCTAACATTTCCTGACTTGGCAGTCAAGCAACAAATATTATTAGTGGAATTTAGTCAGGACTGAAAGTCTAGCAACATAAAGATGCTTACTAGGTGATGATCGGTGTATCAGCATTAGGAGTCTAAAAACTTTCTGCAAAAACAATAACTACCAAATATAAAATTGAAAATAAGTTAATCTCAACAGACAATAACAGTTTTAAATAAAATTCAGGAGTGATTATCAATGCTTTTTAGCAAAACAGCAAAAAATCATGCCTAAGTTGGTAACAGTCATTTATGTGTGGCCTCCTGACCTTTAGGACACTGATTTTTGTTGAGTAACATGAAATGTAGGAAAACTAACTGTTACGAATACGTGATCTTAACTGCTGATTCCCTTTTTACTCAAATCTTATTTTTTGCATGCGTGCTAATTCATGTTGTATTCAATGACTAAATTGACTGATTTCATGAGAGTATACATCTGTTCAGCTTTTCGTCCTTTATTGAAGTTTGTAAAAGGCACAATGTTTCTCTTTTCAGAATTCCTCATTGATGGTGCTCGATATTGTTGTATTGAGTTACATTATAGCTGATAGACAAAAAAGGTGAAGAGAAATGTTCATGTTACAAATAAAACCCATCACTTTTCAGTTTTTCGCTGGTAAATGTATTTATAGGGATTTCTTTTAGGCCAGGTTTAAGAAGCCTCATTGCATTATTTTCCTAGTTCCGGTAGCAAATTCTTTAACGCGTACTTTTTTGAGAATTTCTAAGCAATATCCGTCTGTGTTCTTATGATCGTAACGGTCGACACCTTTTTAGAACATGCTAATCATTGTTTTATGCTTTTGAACATCCACTTACTTATTTCATTGGAACCCGGCTTATTTTATTTCCGATTCTTATTCGACTGTTCTGATGACCAACTTCCAACAAATTTGATTGTTGCCAAGTGTTGTGCAGCCTGGAAGTTCGTTATAGACGATGACCGTTCAGCAGACAGTTCATTCACTTTGATGCTATAAGCATTTTACTGTCTTGTGAAATTAGGATAATCTTTGATGCAGGATAACGATCATACCTTTATCGCACGGGAGCAATTCAACGGATGTTGTCTTATTTTTAATATCTGATAGTGTTTCGCATTTATTAAGGAAATATATTGTACCAATTACACGTGTACCTCCTGAAATAGTTACTGTTGTACTACTGTTGACATTCTGACTGAAATGTTATTAAATTGTTGAATTTATTGGGTTTCACTAAAGCTAGTATCCCATTATTATTATTATTATCAAACTTTGATGCTTTTGAATGACCTGAAATAAATTTAAGAAGACCGAAAGCAATAGAATGACACAGATTGTCTACTACAGTCCTTTTATCCTGATGAGTATAGCAAAAGTACTTTTTTGGTTTTATTCGTGTACTTTACAACTTATTTTCATGACATTAGGACATCTGGTTACACAACGTAAGCGTTGGGTAAATAAAACTTGAAAAGTAGTGATGCCATTTTAGGGGACTACGTATTTGAAGAATTAACTTTATGCAATGATAAAAATAGACCATCCTTTTTACTTGCTGGCTGCCAGAATCTACTTGAAAGGATACGCGGCTGCTCTTTTCCCATGTCTGTTACAAAATGCAGCTTTCTGATGAAATTCCGATTTTTTCTGGTTTAATTAACAGGTCAATGACTAAGACAGCCAATGCTCTTTTCTGTATTCACTAGAAAAATGAGATTTATACACCATATTATTCCTTAATTTAATTTTCCCTAACCTATCTGCAATAAATATGTATTTGTTTCCCAGGTCCAGCCAAAATTATTGAGCCACCGAGCAATGTGAAGGTGATAAGCGGAGAAACAGCACTCTTCTTCTGTCGTGTAACTGGAAACCCAACCCCTACAGTAAATTTCCTGCTTGATCGTCAGGTTAGCCGGACTGCTCCAGGAGTTGGTGGGGTTTTAAATATTCCAGAAGGCAGTTTGTTACGCTTAACCAAAGTACATCGAGGACAGAATGGTCTACAAGTTCAGTGCATAACAAGAAATCATGTTGGAGGCGATAGCGCCTCAGCGTATTTAACTGTGTACGATACGAATGACCGTAAGTTAATACACACAAACATATTTCTGAAAGATACTCTAAATACCTTTTAAGTGCTTTGTTTCCCAAAAAACATGGATATTACTGTTATTTGTATATATTTTATATTGAAAGTAAAAGCACTATACGGCATATCACTTTGTTTTTAATGACGTTAACGTCATTTCAAAGTGAAAACCAAACCTTCTAATGAATACAGAAACAGTTTTCTATTCAGTTATACATTTTAGCTTTTTTATCTGATAATGCTTCTCACTGGGAAACAATTCATGAAGCGGATAAATTAGCCTAATTCATAGACTGAAAACTAATTTCTGTATACCTGCAGTCTTAACTAAAAAATGAAATCAATTCAACTGAATAAGGCCTCAGATTAGTGTTATATATAAATCATTAGTGTCACCAACTGAAACTGAACTGACTTTCTTGTCAGACATTAGGGAAATCCAATAATAATAGAAAGAGATCTATCCGAATAAGTCTGAAGGGATTATTATTTTACAGACCATGGAATTTCATAGACTCAAAGTTTTTAAAAGTGCACACATTTAATCTGATTCACTTTGGTTATCTCTACAGCAGATAGTACAATGTGCGTTTCAAGCGAAAAAATCAAAAAGTAATCCTTTTTAATTAACTGCTACAAAAAATTAGAATTCGTAATGAATTTTAAAGCTAAAGTTCATATGTCTCGAAGGGAATGAAATTTCATGTATTAAGCAGAATTCGTCAGCCATCTTGTCGTAACGATGAAAACCACAAATTTTCTAGTGAATCGTCTGAATACGAAAGAACTTTAATTTCAGTTATATCAACACCGTCAGTTTCCTCTAGGTATTCAGTACTGCTTTATACCACCGACTGTGACATTTGCCACCTTTTCAGCATAATATACCATAATTAGCATAGTTTTAAGTTTTCTACAGAAGGGTTACAATACACGGAGTTATAGAACCGTAGTCAGCTGCTATTTATGTGTTTTCATTGAAAGCGTAAATGTTGTTCATGGTTGTTTACATGGACTGTCTCATCACATCGAGTGAGATAATTTTATAAGTTTGGACAATGGAAATACAAAGAATGACAGAGAATTCCTAGAAGCTTGGTTCTTAAATTAATTTTCACTTAATAGTCACGCAATGAAGAATATGTTTTACAACCAAAAGGAAACATATCAGGTCAGCGAATGTGTATATATACGATATTTATCTGAGGATAACCAAGGAAAGTACGGACAGCTAAGAAAAAACGGACATTTCGTCAACGAAGAATTCTGAAGGCTCAATATGCACTGAAACTAGAGCTGAAGGTATTGTTCGGAAGTAAAATGAGAGCTTCATAGTTAAACCATTAAACTCACAGAATACAACAGCATCAAAAGCATCCCTTAGTTTTGCCGATCTTCTGCATTATATCAAAGTCTTCAAATTTATTCCTACTATAATAAGAACATTTCCTAAACCAAGAGTAATGGTTTACGAAATATAAAAGATTTCTGTTTCAGTACCTTATAAATTTCCATCTATATATTTATAAAAACAAAAAGTCTAACGAAGAAACATATATGTTTTCAGTTAGTTCCCCATGAAAAGCAGGTTAGCATTAACAGAGAAAGTATGTAAAATGCATAACAGCTTATACGTTGTTAAAAGCTTTTTCTGCTTCACTCATACGTCTGATAGTCTCACAGCAATAAGGCAGTGGTGACGCAAACTGGTAGCTTTTTGGTCACCAGTATTAGTGTCTCGTTCAAACTGAATTCAGTTAAAAAATATCAATAACCAGTACAATGTGATTACAATTCTAAATGACACAAAACTACTGCGGATACACTAGACAATCTTACAATGGATCAGTTATTACCTAGATGGCTTAGCAGAATAACTGTGAAAGTTCTTTTAGCATCTAGCAAGTACACCTTTTAATAGAGTTCAATAAGTAAAATTAAATCACCACCTAATTCCTGAAGGTCAAATATTCTTCTCAGTTATGCCTACATTCCATATTTCTATTACTCAATTATTAAACGGGTTTACTGATCATTCCCAAAAGTCATGAACATGAATGGTTGTCACCACTTTGTGGTTTACTCCAAAAATGTAGTTGTAAGTCTCTAAATTAATATTCTAAATGTTTGTAGAATATATACTTTTCTTTATTTGGGGAAGGATACCACGAAACGATAATAAGTAAATTTTTTTAGTTATTTAAATGGCCACTCATGAAACTTACACGAAGGAAGTTTTAGTAACTAATGGGAGTTATATCTAACCAAATTTATTGTAAGTAAAGTCTTTTTTGGAGACGATCAACTACGTATAAACTACATTAGTGCTTTATGTGAATAATGTCTGTTTAGTTGACTGAAGGAACATTTGTCCATTCTTCTAATTTTCATGTTACATTATCGGGAACTGTTTATAATTTCTTCCCAATAAGAGTTGTGATTATTAGCTCCTGATAATCCTGTTAGTTAGAATTTTCTTAGGTAAATAATCAGTGCTGATATTCAGAATATTACATCACTGATTAATATATTTATGACATGTACTACGACACAGTAATACATAAATACTCATCATATCTGGGCTAGAAACCCTGGATACGCATGTCATGCTTTTTAACACTTATCAGTAAATCCCAATCTGCAATCTTCCAAAAACCCGTGTTCATTCTTTAGCCCAAACCTCAGTTACATAATGTCAAAGTAACCACTAACCAGTAAAAAAATTGTATATCCTATACAAATTTCCCACATGACGATAACCAGACAATCATATGAGTTTGATAAATATACTCAAAACCAGCAGAAAACTATACCAGTTACTTTTGGCGATAAATTTCTTTCTAGATGAACATATACAGATATCATTATATAACCAGACCTAATCATGGATTCGTTTCGATTACCTGGACAAATAAAACACAAAGTGTGTACTGTATACCACTGATTGGTATGAGTATTTGGACACGACTAACATCAACCAATAGTGCTCGCTAGTCAGATAGAAGTGATCTACACACTGAATAACACACTGAACTCATTTAGCTGAGTTAGATCAAACTACCTGAATTATAAAGTATAATTATATTTTAATAGTTTACACACAATGATAAGTTTTGTTATTGGTAATACCTGAATTATGCCTAACTACACTGAATCGAATTCACAATGTGTAAAATGATTCGTCATCTGTAATTTTACAGTTACTTCATTCACTTATCTAGGGAGCATTGTCTCAACTATAGGAGGGACGGGTGAAGATGTCAAATCGAGAATCGGGAAGGCGAGAAACACATTCATCAACCTAAAACCAATCTTGAAATCTTCGTCACTCAACATCAACAACAAAATTCGGATTTTCAGTACAAACGTCAAGTCAGTCAGTTCTTCTATACGGATCAGAAACTTGGCAAGTCACAAAGAATATTTCCAACAGGTTTCAGACCTTTATCAATAACTGTCTTCGCTCTATACTGAAGATCAGATGGCCAGAAAGAATCACCAACAAGAAACTATGGGAACGAACAAAACAAGAACCAATCGCCTAACAAATATGCAGGAGAAAGTGGAGATGGATTGGACACTCGCTGAGGAGGCTGCTGGGTGACATCGTGCGTCAGGCCATAGCTCGAGTGGAACCCGAAAGGGAAGCGGCGAGTGGGACGTCCAAGGGTGACATGGAGGAGATCGTGTGAAGAAGAGTTGAAACAGTATGGACTAACATGGATGCAAGTGAAAAGTACAGCTGAAGACAGAAGCAAGTGCTGACGTGCAGTTGAAGCCCTATGTTCCACTAGGAACCCAAAGGAACGATAATAATAATAATTTGACGGTCCAATGTGAAATTTTACCACAGTTGCTTTTGGAAACTGGAATTATTCAGATCACAATATATGATATGTTTGATGTTACTATTGATAATCAAGAAGTGGTTTGCTTCTCTGAGCTGAATCAAACTGCATACACTGTTTATTAGCTTGGCCCCAAACGAGCGAAACGGTTGTTTGCTGTTGAAATCTCTCCCATCTGGGCGGTGAGGGCAGTATCTAGGGACTTATGTCGACCAGTCAGTAGTACATATCATCATGCATTTTCGCTTGTTTTCTTGGCTGCTGTTTATGCTGTCAAGCAGACCACATGATGCGATTTCAAATTCGATCCAAAATGGGAGCTACAAAAGTCATAGAATCTTATATATATATATATATAAGGCTTTTTGACTGATACTTATATATCATTATCCGGAAAGTAAAACACTTATCATTTAGGAATACACAAATGACCTTAATTAGTTAACTTGACATGACAGCAACTGAAAAGAACAAAGTACTCTGGTTTATTGTTTATCTTGGATCTTCAGGTAATGGTTTTAAGCACATGTAATCAGTTACTCTTAAATGACACAGTTTTTCTGAAAGGCGAAGAATTAAATTTAGAGGTATTTAGTACAAAAGTAGGTCGAAATCACTCATATTATTCAGAGATTTCCACACTTGTTTATTTTGATGTTAATAGTGACTTTTTTCAAATTGCACAGAAGCCTTGGTGATTCAGTTTGACAGATTCAACAACTCAGTCAAATACTCACTTCGAATTGCATTCAAGTACACAAATGTTGAGTTTTAATAACAAGGCCTACAGTATCATCGTGTTTCAGTGTCAGTTATTTCACTTCAGCATGACGAAAATGATTCATCCACATTCTATTGCAGACACTTTGAACATGGTTAATATTTCTAAGTGCCTTTTTCATTATTTTGTGACACCATTCTCCTTTATTCTGAGGATAACTGTTTAGAGTTACATCAATTCAGTGGAATCTAATGTAGATCCAATATAAACTCATCTCAATTAAGGTAAATACCCTATTAAGTGCAACAAAAAAAGCACAATTGGATTTGATTTGTGATATTATGTTTTAACAGCTCCGCATAAAACAGTCAGCTTTTTCCATCACATTTAAATTATCATAAGCGTAGATGTATATGTAAACATTTGTCACAAAGTGTTTGAGCAGGTACTGTGTTTTTGAGTTATGAGAGCAGTCTGTATGTAATTTGTCAAACTGATAGATCGTATTTACCACGTATTTAACAGTTGTTCTACTCTGTTGGCTTCTGTAAGCTACTTTGGACTATGCGGAAAATGATAACTACCTATTCTGATTCCAAGCAAAATGCGAACTCTACCCCCTCCCGCCGTCTAATTATATTATAAATAGTTAGTCTTTTAACACTGAATAATTCGTCTACTTACATCATTTTTGGAATTATGTTCCTCATAATTTCTCTCTATAACTCAAAGTTACTGTGGAAAAAGTATGTTCAGAAGTTTCGTAATTTATATTTTTACTCTGTTCAGGATTTATATTGTTGAATAGAGTCCAGGAAACAAAACTGGCTTGCATTAACCTGTAAATATATTCTTTCTTTCTTTGCTCAAACATTTTGATAATCGTACCCCTCTGGGTTCCCCAGCAGTATTCTAAGGAACATCTGTCAGGACAACATTTAGAATACTTTTAATGCAAATAAGTTGATTGCTGTTTTATCCTTGAGTGATTTTTCTCCAAGTTGGCAAACTTAACTGGTTATGATAAACATGAACTATGAGTGAAGATATTTGGTACCACTTCTTCGTTCTCATAATTATCTACATTTTGATAAATTCTGTTATCATTACTGAATATTCAGTTTCTTTTTATTATTCTAGGGATACCTGATGGCTATCCAGTTATTCATGTACCACCGAAAGCTAGTTCAGCAGCCGTTGGTGATGTGGCTAGAATGGACTGTGAAGTTTCCGGACATCCTCAGCCGTCAGTTATTTGGCTGAAAAATGAAATTCCTATTCAGAGTAATGACAAACGGATAACACTTGTTGGTAGGTGAAATAAACTGAATGAAACTTTTACTGGAAAAATCATTTTATGTGTTTTCTATTCATGAAATCTTTATTTAATTTCAGCCAAATTTCGAAAGTGGTTTCTTAATATTCTCTGCATGTTTGAAGTAGTAATCATTTTAACCAACCTAACACATCGGTATCGAGCAAACAAAAGTATTGTGTTCAATTACCTGAGACAATTCAGTTCATTGGTATGCGAACCTCCTCAATCGAACAGAACCAAATTCAAACTCTTTCCACCTTTTTACTCTTTAAAGCGATTATATTTTCTGATATTTATCCAGTATCCTTTTTAACGTGAGTCTATCAAGTCTGTTTTTAGCAAACAATCGAGGAAAATTAGATGGAACAGTCAAGAAAAATCGAAACACGCAACTGCCTCCTCCTCATTAAGAATATATCAGTATTTTGATAAAGCTAATCTCTTTTGTCATTAGAAAAGTCATTTTCTAAACTATGCGGTAAAATAAAAATTTGGAGTGTAGGAAACTTTTAATCCCATAAATGTAAATAACTTTGGAAAGGTAACGGTGATATATATATATATATATTCATATTTACCAATAGTTTAATTCACATTTCAGTATGTTAGTTAGACTATTTCAGAAATTGTTGGCCTTGTGGACACGGTATAAGTTATATTACCTTTTTCAATTAGATAAAGACTGAAGTAAGACTGTTTGTGATAACATCTGAGGCATTTACTGCCATATTAAAACTTTCTTCTAACGCATCGTTGAATAGCTTCAAGGTAGAAAACAATCCTTCTGCATTAAGCCTAGATGTCTAAGGTATTTTTACTAGTGATATAAACAATGCTAAGGTCAATATGGTTACAGGGAACGAGCCTTTGAATTCATTTCATTTGTGCTAGAAATCTACCAAAAGGATTGAATTGATCGTCTTCACAAGGACAGTCCATATCACTTTATCATTTATTAAGGTAGTTGATAAGTTATCAGCACTTGACTTGTGACCCTCAAGGAAAACACTAATCAGTATATGGTTGATATCATCCGTAGTCTCAAAAACATACTCTCTGAAAACAATTGCCTTTCATCTCAACGTTTGCAGTTAGAATGAAGGCAGGATTTAGTAATTTCAAAGATCCAAGTAGGATTTATACTTCAAGACACAAGTTGGAAAACTTTTGAAATCAGGGAATAGTGAACAGCATTTTCGCATGGATTTGGGATACCAGCAGCATGAAGATATGAGCCCACTGGATATCAAACCCAGGACCTTACGGTTATGAGGTAAGCTAGTTTACCATTCACCAAGTAGGACGGGCGTCAACTCTGCAGAATAGTAAGTGTCATTATTAACTATCCAGTCTAACTGATAATATTATCTCTCAAAGTAAACAGTGATGATAAAAGCTACATTTCTCACATTAAATGTACATGTCAAGATTAAATCTTGTTTACTAATGTTACTTTTCTCTATAACACGAAGTGGAAATTCTTCGAAATCATTACACATAGTACCTTGCTATTTGAAAACATTACACCAACAGCTGATAATACTGAACGTTTATCAATGACAACTAATTTCTAGTTTGCTTTTTTCCCTCAAATAGCTTCACATAACGCTCGATCACTTCTAAATATTACCCACCATAGATTTAAAATTAAAACCGGTTCCAGTAATTCCTACATACCTCTAATAAATTTTTGAAGACTGCAGTCTTTTGTCTTTATTTCTTTGCATATTATAAGTGAGCCTTCAGAAATTCTGTATAATAAAAACTGAGAAGAAATATACTGTATCTTCTTTACCTGGTCTACTTGTTTTGAACTGCGAATTCATATTGTTTAATAAACTAATTTATATAAGGAAAATTTATTGTCGTTCACAGTAACTTTTTCACAGAATTTCGAACAATATACGCAGGTTAAAAGAAAGTTTTTTGGAATGAAGTTTTATAACTTCCGTTTTCAGCTATACGGTAAACTTAGAAAGTAATATGTGCATATACAAGCACATATATGCATCTTTCTTTCTAATGTCTATTCTCAGCGACAGGTATCTGGAGGAATCTTTTCGGCTGTTTAAAGAAGAAGGGAGTAACTCAAGTGAATGTAAACCACAAGTTAAGCAGAAAGTTTCTAAACTTAAACGGAAGTGATCTCTCTCTCATTTTTATTCATAAATAGCTATGTTACCTTTTAAGTAACAAATAGTTTAATAAATTTAACATTATCAAGTTATCTTTGAGCTTTTAAGTATAATAAAAGAATGCTAATAGGCAATAAAAAATTTTGTTAGTTGGGGCAGAGGCTTAAAATCACAGTGGTTCACACGTGAATATATTTATTAGAAAAATGATGAACTCATATATCCTGTTCTATGTTAAAATTAATTTTGTTATTTATCACCTAGTTCATGAGATAAAACTAGGTGATTTATATTTTATTTTCAGTTAGGATAAAAGGAAATCTTTCACTTCAATCAATTTATGTTGTGTTGTATAAATGTTTGTTAAATACAAATTCACTGATAATATTATTCCGACTATATATAAAAAAGAGCTGAGATAGAGCTTATTTCAGTTAGAGGAAGATTGGAAGCCAGGGAGTACCGGACAGCTGTTTCGTTCTTGTTTGGGACTCTTCATCAGTAACCCATCAGCCGGAGATGGAATCCATGACCTTTCGGTTTCAAGGAAAACTCGTATACCACTCAGCTTAGTGGTATACGAGCTACCCTTGCAATCGGAACGTCATGGGTTCGAATTCTGGAGGGTGCTTACTAATGAAGACATTATGAAGAAAGAAACAGCTGTCTAGTCCTCCTTGGTTTTCAATGGTTCTTTAACTTATATTAATCCGTGGTCAAACTCGATATGATTATAAGCCATAATTTTTGCTCGAAACGTCATCAGTTAATAGTACTGTACAATACTGTGTGATTTATCAAAATAAAATCTTATCCATAATGGAGTTATACTCTACCACAGTGCCCAAGTTTTATACTTGCATCCTACAAACTAGTATCTGAAAATGGAGATTATTATTATTATGAATCAGGTAACATTGGTTAAATGACATCTAACATGACTAAGTTCCATACTGTCTTAGGATACTATGTCTCTGTATGTAAGTAGTCAAGTTTTTCTTTAAAGAACATAATTTCTCAGAGTTTATCACTCTTAATAAAGTTGGATTCACTTGTACTGATGTCTTCAGTGACTTCATTTAGAGAGATTGACTTCGGGTGGTAAAATGAGACAATGTGACTGTTTAAAAGTGGAAAGACAGGTTTGCTCATCCTTGAAAAATGGGCGAATAGATGCATGACAACGAAATGCCCATTTTCAAGTTCTGAGAATTTTTGCCAATATTATATAAAGCAATGATGAGCTACTAGATCATAAAAAATTGGCTTAAGCAAGTCGCACGTTTTTGGTGATGTCACCTTAGGGCTGTAAACTGTTCCTAAAATTGTATCAAATGTGAATATTTCCCCCCCTCCATAAAAATGGATACATGAATCATTTTTCAAAAGTTATGACTTACTCATATAGTCAACAGTTTGCCAATGAAGGACCAAATTGTAACCCCCTGCCCCTTGAGATAGGATGAATCAATGTATGTTTTAATGCGAGTTATAAATTTTTAAAGAATTATTTCTCAGTTAGAAGAAGTCTAAAAATGAGTTGACCGATTCATTACATTTCACTGAATATCCAGGCATTGGCCAGGATTATAGTATTTACTCAAGGACCTATATATATATATATATATATATATATATATATAATGTGCGTGCACATCGACATTTATGGAAGCATGTATGTTTAGTAAATTAAAATTGAAAGGATAGTGAAATGCCTGTTCAGTGAGAGTACTAATAATAGGCTATTTATAGTAGCCTCCTACTGCATAACTTATTGTTCATATCTGTTTAACGGTATTCTGAATTTGATCATTACACCGTATTTTCTTTCCCAATGATTTGTTACACAGATAATACCAACAGTAGGTGTAAAAGATTTCCTGTTTCTCATAATGGTTCAAGCATAGCTTCTTCTTATGAATTTTCTTAGAAGTATTTTTTAAGATCAAATGCAGAACACTATATAATGAGGCTTACCTTAGTGAATAGTTTTAGTCACCAATGAGGTTTACATCAGACCACTGAATTCCTAAAAACTCTGAATTTTAGTGATTACACACTTATTCACTTGAATGATTCTTATATGAGTTTTTACAGACGGACTCTCGGATTTATTCAGATACTTAAATTAGAGAATACCAAACTTGATTGCTATTCAGAGATTCAAGAGTCTGCTGATTGCTTAGAAGTCGGAAGATTTTCAGTTATATTTCTCCATCGAGATAAATGAACTGAATACTTATATTCGTCATTAGGAATCAATCCGCAGGATTCTCTATACTTAAGGCACAGAATTACTAATAATTGCCACTAGCGTTTTTTTACGTCACTGACTTCTCAGTATGTTCACTTCGGCTTATTCTCAAAGTCGTACCCGCAAAATTTAGTAAACGTTGTGTAACTTAATGGACGAGAGGAAGACAATCTACTGATAAAAACACAACGAAAACTGGGAGCATAAACACCAAGATACTCTAGTGTAAGAGGTGAAACGAAATGAAAATGACCTATTACCTATAAATTTAAAATTAATGCCGAGAAAAAAAATGCTGAAGCTGCAGTATAAAAGGGATATACCAGTTGCGTCAATACACTATTGCATAACCTGTACATGCCTAACAAGAAGGTGATTATTATTATATTATTATTGTTTCCTTTAGATCCTACAGGAACATAGGACTTCAGCGACACGTCTCCATTGCGTTCGGTTCTCCGCTAACGTTTTCACCTGGCTCCACGTCTGCCCACATGCTTTCATCTCCTCTTCACATGACCTCTTCCATTTCACCCTCATACTGATGACCAACTCGCCACTTCCCATTTGAGTTCCACTCGAGTAATGGCCTGGCGTGTGATGTCACTTTATGGTTTTCTCAGAGTATGGCCAATCCACCTCCATTTATTCCTGCATATTTGTTGCACAGTTGGTTCCTAGTTGATTCGCTTCCAGAAATCCCCCACTATTGGTAATCTTTTCTGGCCGGCCATCTGATCTTGAACGAATTATTGAGCGAAGACAGCTGTTGATGAAGGTCTGTAATTTGTTCGAGGCGCTCTTCGTGACGTGCCAAGTATCTAATCCCTAAAGTAGCACTGACTTCACATTGGAGTTGAAAATCCGGATCTTATTTTTCATGTTGGGTGCTGTTGACCTCCACACAGACTTGAGAGTAGTGAAAGCTTGCCTTGCCTTCCCGATCCTCTCCTTGATATCCTCGTTAGTTTCGCCTGTAGTCGAAACGATGCTCCCCAGATTGGTAGGCGACGGAGGTTGCTCCCTTTAGATTTCTCCCATTTATGCTTATTGTTGACTATTGTCGCTGTGGCCGTTGCTGTTGGCCAGGAATCTTCATCACCTCTGTTTTCTTTATGTTCAGTTGAAGGCCTATCACAACATGATTACATTCCATACAAATAAACATCGCTCTGCTGATTGTACTAAAATAAAACTCAAGGAAAATTTAATCAACCAAAACTTTGATTTCAATTTATCTTAATTACGCGGGTTTGCTAAGTGCTGCCTTTATCAAAAAATAATATGCATAATAGAGAAGATTTCTAGCTCAGGTGGATGATTTTTGGTTTGATTATATTCTCTGAGCTGACCGGTTTAATTGCGAAGCTTTCGCTGTCCTTCTAGACAAAGTCTTCAGCGCAGGCTTAAAAAGAAATGAACATGTTTGAATTCTTAGTAAATTTCGCCTTTTAGATCTGTAGTCAAAAAGATCAGTTAACCAACGAGGACTATCCTAAATAATAATTAATATGATTTCTGCAATTTTGCGCTCGTTTTGACCAATCCTTTATTTATTATTTGGGATACTTCTTATTCTTTTATTTATTTTCTACCAGTAACAATTCTGATTTATTTTCAGGCACTGGTTCTCTGTTGTTCGAGCATTTACTACTGTCAGATGAAGGACACTATGAATGTTTGGTGCATAATCAAGCCGGATCAGTATTAAGTTCAAAAGCCTACTTAAAAGTTAAAAGTAAGATATTTATGTACAATATGAAGTCTCCTTTGCTATCGTTGTTTAATAATAATATTAGATAAATATGAGTGGCCGGTCAATTGTGTTCATTTCATATAACTTTTGAAAGTTGTACCTGTTTTGTCAAACAATACTAAAGAAATATTCGTTATCTAGAAGATAGGCAAGTTATCATAACTGTAGTGTCATAACTGAAATGACAGATATAGTCTGTTACAGTTACACCTGTGATATAACAGCGTATGGCGTCCATAAACTGACGAAATCTAAGTGACATTTATAACAACATGACAGTCACTTAAGCGTTGCAGTTAGTGGCAGAAACTTTCAAGCTAGAAGAATAATGTTTATTTGCAACAGAGCAAGTTCTCTACGAATGCTTCCAAATGTTATTCAAAATGCATCAGTCCACCGATTTTATTAGCTGGTAGTTATTTCAACTTTTCCTTATTATATGCACAGCCAAATTTCATAGCATACAAAAGCTGTGGTTCTTGAATTATGTTTTCAGACACTAGATTTTATTGTTCATTGTCAGTGTGTAAGTAATGCACTTGGTAATGGCTTAAAGTGAGTTCATTTTCGTGTTTATTATGAACTTTTGTTATAATTTTCACCTGAGAACCATAAAATCGCGCGAAACAGGATAATATTTTACCTGCTCAGCTTGTCTGAGTTAACATTATGATCATTAAAGACATCTTCATATGACTTCTTGAAACCGATCTTTGAAAAAATCCTGTAATTCTGGTTTTCTGTCGACACCACAACATGTTTATCCTAATTACTTATTACCGACCGGCAGAGATTTAAATCTGTTGCTTTTCGTTTCAGATACCTACTTTGTACCTAAAATAATCGACAAGGTTGATCAAGTAGGAGTGCGTTCTGGGCACAATGCTAATTTGACATGTAGAGCGGCAGGAAACCCAACTTCGACTACTAGATGGCTAACTGATGGTGAACGTCCTATTACAGAGTATACGGAAGGCATTTCTGTACTATACTTAGCTGATATAACAGAACCTGCTAGATATATCTGTGAAGCAAATAATAGTCTCGGGACAGTGCAACATCCAGTTAGAGTTCAGATAATAGGTAAGTGCAGTTCTTTAGAGGTATAACTGATGGAGTTTTGTTTAACGCTTATAAAAATATAAAGTAATCAGATAAGAGCAAGCAGAAACGGTTATAACATCGAGTTCAATGCCTTCATTTATTTTTTGCAAAGGTGAGAAAGTAGCTGAAACATACTCTTTCACCCTCTTTTATCTAAACACTCATCAAATTGTAATACATCTGTGCCGAATTGATACTGTGTGAGATTGGTTAATTCCAAGGTAGACCTCTTCATAAACCGCTATCAGTTGTTCAAGACTCTTTGATTTTCACTGTCAGCCAGTCGTCGAATCTGCCACTGGGCATGATTTTATCTTTGTATTTTTTTTAATTGATGAGTTCTGTTATCTACATATATTCCTGTTGTATCAGTTAGCTGAATATTCAAGTTGTCAGAAATTTAAGTGTTGCGGTGACAAAATATTTGTCAAAAAATTCTAGAGTTTTAGAGTCAGTTTTCTAAAATGACAGCGTAAATTGTAATCTAAGTAGTGGCTGTTTGTGAGCTTAGATAACATCTTTACTATCATAAATCGACTGCTCATTTTTGGCTGAAAATATTAGTAATGGCTGTAGACTTCATCTCATGATGGTAGTTCACAGGACGATTTAATCAATCTATTGTCTTCTCATCTTCTTGGACTTACTGAATAATTTGCTGATTGCAGTTAACGCCATTCAAATTACGAAACTGTTTAATATCTAGTGGAATCAATAAATGCTGTAATTTAGCCTCCGAAAGAAAGCAACTGTGTGACTGGATGGAGTTCAGGAAATTATTTTCACAAAACGCAATTGTTAAATAAAAATATATCATTAAGAAATGAACCATTCACACTATAGTTCATATCATATACAATGAAAGCTGAGTTCTTCTTCAAACAGTCGCCTTAGAATTCCCATATTGTAAGTGTTGGAATGATCTAGAACGAAAAGATAAGCTTACCTATTTAAGACTATTACTATTATAAAGAAATCCATTTGAAATAGTTCACATCCGTTAGTGCTCAAAACCCTTCGTGCAAAAGAACAGACGACCTTACGCAACAAAATTCCCACCAGGGCACTGGAGATAGAGATTACCCAGCCAATGACTCAACTAGAGATCTAATCTAATGTTATAAGACAAAATGCTCTCTAGAGATAATGAAATAGGTTTATCTGTTGTATGGAAAAAGTCTGCTGTTTTTTTAACAACCAAACAGTCAGAAGTGAATAAGAAAATCAAAAGCATGCATTACACTACTAGACATATCGTACTTATGAAGGTTTATGGTGATAACAAGTGGCTTAGGCCGAAGTATACGAAGCAGAATTTTCAGAAGAAACTTCATTAACTGAAAGTCATGCTTTGAAGACAATGTGCTACATTGTTACTGGGTTACTTATCCAGATTCAGCCATGCTGCCTTGAATTAGTAGCCAAAGAGTTTGTACTTTGCGCGAAAAATTGGATGGGTTAAAACAAAACATAAGTGCAAGTAGAACTGAAGTATATCTTACTTTTTTGTATCTTCTATAACAGCTTCACTCAATGATCTTTTAAATGAGTCCCTAACTAATTTTAATAATTAGTTAATGAATTACTTAACTTTCCTCTGGAAATAGTGGTGATCTACCCAGTTAGGTTGGTTCAAGTGTAAATTTCCTTCCACTCAGGCGACTTACCAATTCAACAAGAAAATACGCTTAGTTTTTTTTACTGAAATTCAAAAGAAATCAGGTTTTTGTGCATTACTGTGAAATGTGATAACATGATTTTAAATCATGTAAAAATTCGTATTTGCTGAATTTTAAAATACTATGCTGATTCTCGAGTTTTATTCTTCAGAAATTCTTTTTAGAGGAAATTTTAAAAGGATTATTTTTTAATGATTTTTGTTCATAGTACTGTTAAAATGTCGAAAAGTCATTAAAAAGTAGAAACTGCTTACTAGACTCATTTGTAGATATACTCACCAATATTACCTTTTAACACTGCACATTCATGTACCACAATTTTTCTAAGTTTACAACAATAGTTGGTAATTTTCATGACACCTCTACTTAAAACTTGCCAGTGCCACTCTAATTTAATCATTTTACACATTATATTTCAAGATACTTTTTAAGAGAACCTGTATTCAAATATTATCTTTAAGTATTACAACAAACAACACATAAGCTTTCAGAACTTAATTACATTCACATTCTTAAAAAAACCTGTATATGTGAACCGACTAAGATTAACCACAGTTATGACGAGCCTTTTTGTGGCGTAAACTGACATAATGCAAACTATAGCAATACATTCTTGAAAATAGCCTACCGAATAAATTTAAAGTGTTCAATCAGGTGTTAATAAAATTTCTGGCTTACAGTATCCTGAACTACCCACCTTGATAGAACACTCTATTTATTTCAGTAATATCATCACTTTTTTGTTTCATAGCATTCAGCCATTCGAATAACAATGGTATCACAGTGATTTCTGTCAGTCATTTAGTATTTTACGCCAAAATGTCGGTTATCTGTATACTATTAAACAGCTTAACCAAAAGGTTGTTTCTGTTCATCCTTTTTCAGTGTTTCGTCATGGAAATTTAAACACATTGTCACAGTGTGAATTATATGAGAAATAGGTTTTTCACGGTAAACGAAAGGGTTTATATTCAAATGTTGGTTTGTAGGGATTTGATTGGTTACAGGATTTTCATCATGAGCTGATATTGGTTAGAGAACCATTGGAAAACCTGGGAGTACTGGACGGCTATTTCGTCCTAGTTTGGGACTCTTCATCAGTACGCACCCACCGGGATTCAAAGGGTTTCTACATATGTGCTGCTAGACTGCTTAAGGAATGTATGCAGCAAGTGTTTTGGGGTTAAATAGGGATGCAAATTAAATGCTAACTTCAACCTTAGCATGATAAAGTAAATAGGGTTGCATGTTAATTAATTAAATTAAATAAGGCGTGTGCTATTTTCTTTTATATATGTCTCTTCTATTTAATCCAGGTATCATTACTACTCTTTTTCTGATCTTCAACCTACTGTCAGACTGTACTGATCAGATTTGCTCACGGAGTAGTCATTAGATGATAAATGATAACGGACAGTTTTTAGTGGGAGTTGAGAGTCATCAATATGACTAGCTGTGTCAGAGATTACAGCACAAAACGGCCACAATTTTAAATACCTTTTTAACTGTTATTTGATATGTAGCATGATGACGCATGTAACTAATATTTATTAAAGAGCATCTAAAAGTCTCAAGAACTCTTCTTTTATGTAAATTCATTAAAAATTGCTAGATACTATCAATTTAAATCATACATCATATAATTTAACTATCAACCGGATACCCCTTTAAAAATTTCTACTTGCAGAAGTCCCCCCACCTCCAACTGATTTAGTATGTTTGGAGAAAGGACCAACGTTTGCATTTTTACAGTGGTTACCTGCGAAACAGTCTTCGGATTCTCATCAATCTGCTTCACGTACTGTTGATTCGTACACATTATTTTTAACAGAAATGGAGAATTCACAGACAGTTGCAAATAAAAAACAATTAACAGATATACCAGCACGTCAGTTTCATCTACATGGAGCATTACAGTATAAACTGACAGATCTAAAGCCGTATACAATGTATTCAGTAGAAGTATGCGCAGTCAGTAATCTCTTGGGAATGTCTGATCCAAGTAATAAAGTGAATTTTTTAACAAAAGAATTGCGTAAGTTTTGATGTTCAATTTTTATTACTATAACTATCGTTAGAATTTAATTTTCTCGGTGAATTTAATTATACAAGAGACGTTTTTTGTTAATATGTTTAAACGAAGTGTCCACATCTAACATGTTATTTATAAGGTAATTCCTGAATTATCAACAATGCCTGTGGGACGGAATTAAAGATAATTATATTATTTCGGTAGGTCTAGCTTTCACCCAGAAAAAAGTAAACAACATGAGTACCAACCAAAATAGTTCAATAATTCATTATTAATGAGCATGTTTTATTTTATTACATGCCATATATTGTTAACGTAGAAATCAATAGTTTGGACTAAAATCTCTCAACTTCTATTACTATTCCTGAATATTCCAATGTCAAGTGTGTTAGAGACTAACTGAAAATCGACAGATTTGAAAATGTCTTTATCATGAAGTGTAAACTAATCAAGATTATGTTTCAAATAAAATCCAGGGAGGAGAGGTATGTTTTGATTCCCTGTGTGAATTCAGTACGGATTTGTTGATCTGCTTTCAGTCAGTCTAACAAAATAGTCTTTTAAATGAAAGCGACCAATTTCAAAAGATAAGTCTAGGGAAACTTGTTTACTTAACCACGTATTAGCTACTGTTTGTATACGAGACAGATTTTGCTGAATTGCCATTTTCGGCAGAGATTCACCGTGAGTCGGTTGCTTAAGGAAAAACCATGTAGGGCCAGCTAATCTAAAATGCTTTCCCAAATCTATCACTTGTGAGATATGGTCATTAGAAAGACTTTATCATAACCTTCATGAGATGTTGGGTGTTGAAACTTTCATTAAGCTATGAATCCAGTATACATTTGTGAAAGAGATAGAATTAAATCGTCATAACAAAATTTATTGTTTCAAGATGCTGTACTGAATCATGCCACTGTGCATAGAATACATGTTCATACCATTGTGATTACTGGTCACCAGTGTATAATAGGTATCGCAGATATGTGTTTTAGCGTGTATTCTGACCTGGAGTATATCACTTGTTCAGTACAATCGTTCTTTCTGCTCAATTCTCCATGCGTTAATTCTCAGATATTCCTTTCACCTAGGCCAGCAAATGTTTGGATAAAATCTCAGATAGCAAATAAATCTTATCGGTGGTCTTAGTAATTCCAGGATTGGGCAGATTCTCTTATCAACAACTCTTATACACATTTTTCCTCCGTCGAATGACTAGAAAACGCGTGTATCACTGGTCTTAGTTATACATACATAATAACATGTAGTGGAATTCACCGATAAAATCTTATTAGAACAATATCATTTTGGTTTAATTCACCAGAAAGTTTGAAATAAAACGCTCGCATTTTTTACATGGGAAAGGCCATTTCTTTTTCCTATATTTTATATAATATGCTCAATGACCTTTTTTGACGGACAGGTAAACGAGATAATGTCATGAATTCTATTCATTCGCAAAGAATTGACCTAAAACAATGTGAATAGTCAATTTATTTAGAGGATATTCGGCACTAGAAATCTTTTTAGTTAATACTGACATATATTTATAAATGTGTATATCACAGCAAACTTTTAAGGATAAAAATAACTTGTCAGTCATTTATTTTAAAAGATAAGGATTCGTGTGTCTGTGAAAAACGTGGACTGTATTATAAGGAAGTATACATTGTACTCTGGAAAAAGAGGAAAATGCTTTTTTCCCGCTAGATATCAGAGAATGCAATAAGATATCATTAAAAGAGAGTACTACAAGATAATTTACGAAATCTCTACCTCCATTCAATTAACAAATGATAGTTCTATTATTTGTAGTATTTATTGTATAATTATTATTCCCTTGGTTTTCGAGTGGAACATAGGGCTTCAAAGACACATCTCCACTTTGTTCTATTTTCTGCCATCGTCTTCAGTTGTATCCATGATTGCCCATATTCTCTCATCTCTTCTTCTCATGATCTCCTCCATGTCACCCTAGGACAACCTACTCGTCGCTCCCCATTTGGATTCCTCTCAAAAGACTGGCGCTTTATGTCATTCGGTGGCCTCCTCAACATGTGCCCTATCCATCTCCAATTTCTCTTACATATTTGTTGGGTAATCAGCTCTTGGCTGGTTTTTTGCCAGCCAGAGTTTCTTGTTGCTAATTCTTTCTGACCGGCCATTCGATCTTCAGTATGGAGTCAGCGAAGGCAGCTGTTGATGAAAATCCGAAACCTGTTAGAAATCCATTCGTGACACGTAGTGCAAGTTTCTGACCCATACAGAATAAGTGACTGACTGACTTCACATTTGTGTTGAAAATCCAAATCTTGTTCTCTATGCTGAGTTAGTGCAGATTTCCAAACTGGTTTCAGGCTGATGAAGGCGTATCTCGCTTTTTCCGATTCTGACTTTGCCATCTTCATCCGTTCCACCTGTAGTTGAAACTATGCCTAGATAAGTGAAAGAAGTAACCTCTATCGAATCTATCCAGTTGATGATGATTGGTGCCGGTTGTTGTTGCTGTTGGTTGGTCATCTTCATGATAGTTCTACAGTTAAAAAGGAATCACTACAATTACTTTTATTTCTAATAAAAAATTTTATGAATTATTGCAAATTTTAGAAGGTGAAACATAGAACAAAAGCTATTGTGGGACATTTTACTAACTTAAATACCATAAATTTAAATATTATACCATGAATACACCAATAGTATCACCAGATCAGCTCTTCTTTCGAACTCAGTACAACATAGTATTTGAATAACATATACACATATAGTCAGAAAAGATACCTTTGAAAAACGTAATTAGGATGAGTCGATCTGCTGAGAACTCACTTACCTGAGAAAGATTTCTCACCTTCCACACAATAAGCCGTACTTACTATGTGTAGTCCGATGGTGCTACCAGTCATCCAAGCTGAAACAGGTGGAGTAGGATTAGAAATAGGTTTCAGCTGGCTGAAATTCATGTTCTTTATCTAATGCGACACATCACTCCTCTGACTTCATGAAAAGAAAACAAGGACTGGAATATATATATATATGCAAAGTGGTAATTATTCCACCATCCATATGAGTGTTTCTTAACTTTTTAGCAAAATGAAAGCACTTAGAATACTATTTTATTCATGAAATGCATGACGTGTTACAGTAGTGTCCTTAAGTGTATCTACAAGTTATACTAAAATGAATAACCCCTAAACAGTGATGTGTGAGATAAAGAAAAATATAAAACACCATACAATTAGCTAATGAAATAGACAAATTCATTTATGTAATCTAATATTTCACCTCCTTTGTAAGTGCATACTCTATCCTTTGTTTGTTAACCACAGTAACTTTACTTTTTTCATCCAGTAGTAGTAATCCATAAGTCCCTGTTGGAATATGATCTGTTAAAAAGGTTTAATGCTTGAAATAGTGGCTACTAGATTTGACTTCCAAATGAAAGCGCTGTCACTCATTAGGATGTAAACGTATTCAGTTTATCAGTGTGTAGTTCAGATACCACCATAAAACATAATCAAATTTATGACTGCATTTTTTTCACATACCTTCAGCCATTCTATGATGACACATATAATGTAACTGGAAATAGTTACTTGAGCAAGGCAACAGCAAAATTCATTTATCTCATTTAGGTTTTATAAAATCAAAATTAACATTAGCATTATTATTTTAAGAGTAACATTCGACCACTCTGGAAGAATATAATTCCATATAAGATAAGCTTATTTATCTAATATGGAATAGTGGCATTATCTTTAGCTGGTAACATATTTTTTCCATTTTGGCAAATTCACTCGGTTCGAAAGAAAAAGAAATAAGTTCTTTCATATCAAGACATACTTTAATAATACCGTGTCACCAGACAAAAGTTATTATCTATAACACACTTGAAATTGTGGTAATACTGATAAATATTTCAATACACCATGAAGTTAGAATTCGCTTATCCAATGTTTATTCAAATAAGATTAACTCTCCTCATATTTTCGTGAATTTCACTCACATTTTCGAATAATCATTTTCAAAGCAGAGATTACATCATCTGACATATTCCTAATTTCACTATGAAAACCTTGATTGGATAACTCCTGTGGCTTTGTAGATTTACAGAAGCTAATTAGTGCATTTTAACATGATCATTTCTTTTTTTCTGATGAATTACTTCTATTAGACATTGGGGAGTTGCCTGCGTATTTATTTTGTCCGAATTTCATAGCCAGTCTACCTTACTGATTATGTGAGATCATTTTATACTGCAAAAGTTAAGAACATTTCGAGCAATAGCTCTTATGATTTCATAGAGTGATTATTTTATATTCTACGTCAGATTTCATATTTTTTGGAGAGACATTCCTATTTGTAGCTGATATATCCGGGCAAAGGTGATCGCAATTCAGTATTAGGTGATTTTCTCAGCTATATAAAAGAAGTTTAGGAGTAAAACCTCACTAAAATACTTGTCGTCACGATTACTGTCTCAACGAATTTTTGAACAGAAGTACAGTTGTGTTTTACGTTGCACTTGTTGCTGATGTGGTAGAGAATATCTGCACATCATGATGTGAATTTTGTGGTAACTGCATTCAACCTTTTAGTAGTCACAGTGGCATCCAGACGGCATGGTGATCTGACATGTGTTTCGGGTTCTATCACTTCCCACTATGGCATCCTTATCACATAAAGTCATTCGTCAGCTTTTGCATCACAGATTCATACTCAACAGTAAAGGGATGAAACTCATAAAAATATCTAATTCAAAGTAGTCATCAGCGCGAGTAGAATGAAGCTTGAATTAACTTTTATTTCATGAAAAATCCATATTCGAACATTAGTAGAGAGAAGACTAGTAGTTCAGCGAACAGTATCTTTTCGGCGAATTCATTTTCTTAGCTGTACAATCACAAATACATGTGAGTTATTTTGTATGTATGTGTGTATTAAGTTTGTCAAACAAAAATACGATTGGTTATGGGGATTTTTCATGAACTAAAATGTACCAAGGACCC